TGCTTGAAGGTGTGTGTGTCTCTACATGTTATAAGATGGTCTTAAGAGGCTGAAATTATGTTAGGTACAAGGACACAGATGCAACTAATGTGACATTGTGGCAACGTTTCGCTCTCCAGAAATTTTTTTAAGCAGAGTTTAATCATGAAGGAGCTTTGTCAGGCTCAAAATATCCCTAAGTGTCTGAAAGTGTCTCTAGGAGGTTTGAAGATGCGTTTCAGAGCTTGAGGATGTCTCTGTGTGTTTGGAAACTGTTCCTAAGTGCTTGAAAGTTCTCCTATGTGTTTGAAAGTGCTCCTAAGTGTTTGATATGCTCCTAAATGTTTGAAAGATGCCTTTCAAAGCTTGAAGATAACTATATGTGCTTGAAAACTGTTCCTAAGCTAAGAGTGAGATTTTTGTTAATTGTTCCAGTCACGATAATGTGATTTTTTTATTCTCTAAATCTAAGAGTTTGATTACACCGATATTAGGAAATACTTCTAAATAAGTTGATTAGGGAGTGGAATGACTTGGACAACGAAGTGTCCAACTCATTCCATAAGAGTTTGAAAGTGTTCCTAAGTGTTCGTAAGAGCTTGGAGGTGTCCCTATGTGCTTGAGGGTGTTCTTAATTGTTTGAGAGGTGTGTCTCTAAATATGGAAAGGCATCCTTAGGTGTTTAAAAGTGCTCTAGTGTGTCAAGACGTCTTTTAAATTTTTTAAAGTGTCTCAAAGTGCTTTTGAAAGCAGCGCTTAGATTTTGAAGATGAACTGTGTTTGAAGATGGCTTTAGAACATAATTATGTACCTTAAATATATGTTCAGCCTTGAAAACATGTCCTCAATAGCATATCTAGCCTTAGAGACATGTGCCTTAAAAACACGCACCTAAAAGAAATGCGGTTTAAAGAAATTTACTCTGAATACGTATCCTTAACATGTAGAGCCTTATTCTGTAGTTTTCCCCGGCAAGCAATTACTGCAGCTGATGAGTTCTCCAGATTAACTCCATTTCCCCGGACACGTTTAGCAAGCCTCTGTTAAATCCACTCAGTCGTATTTCTGTCTAGTCGTATTTAGGGTCTGTGTCTTGCTTGTTGCTGTGTCTGCCTTGTGCATATGTTTTGTTTACCTCGAGTGTATGTCGTGTGTACGTCATGTAAGAGCTGTTTGTACATGAAGCGTGTATAATGTTTGTGTTTTTCTCGTGAATGCTTTGTTTTTGTGTGTCGTGTTAATGTCGTTGGGGGTCTGTGGAACTAGAATTAGTTCCTAGGCTGCTAATTTCCACAAATGCAGCCAATTTTATCTATATCAATGCTTATGATGATTAAGACAGATGTGCAACAGTTGGATATCTTGATTGTTGTAACTTTTCGCCTACATAGAAGGCATCTTCAGCCAAGTACAGTCTTAAAAAGCAACTTGTTAGTATTTTATACTATTTTCAGCATAACTGCTTGTGCTATTATTATCGTCTGTGACCACAATTAGCTCATCTTTCTGGATCTTACATCCCCTAGAAAGCAGATATCAAATACCCACAGGTAGCCCTTGTGTTGTATCTAGTGTTATCAAGTAGCCACAGGAAGTAGCCCTTGTGTTGTATCTAGCATTATCAAGTAGCCACAGGTAACCATTGTGCTGTATCTATTATTATCAAGTAGCCACAGGTAGCCCTTGTGTAGTACCTAGTACCAAGAAGTAACCAAGTTCCGATCCGGTTTGCTAACGGTTCAACAGACATCTTAGTAAAAAGATTAATTACAGAACTTCTTTCCGTTTTTATATGCTGTACGTGTGTAACTAGTCACGTGAAACTACAATAATGTTAGTGCAGTATGTACTCGATAAGTACAATATAAAAGTTAAGGGACAATATGATCACAAATAACTTGGAAATTATTTTAATATTTCGTCAGTTTGAGAATATCATGATTGTGGCTAGCTGGTCTAGTGGCTAACGCGACGGGCTGGAGTTTTGAGACTCTATGACCGCGGGTTCAATCCCGGTCGGGGGTATGGTTTGTTTGCAATCGTGTCATTACGATTTCTTAAGTCATCATGATTTCATTAGTGTTTAATATCTACTTCATTCAATATTATCCCAGAGTTAGTATTTAGGTAATTATGTATTATAATTATCAGTTAGTCATGCAGGTATATAGCATACTACAATTTTTATATAAGAGTAAGGGATTGATTTTTGTTTGAGAAAATGAATGATAGGAGAAGAAACACAGGCTCTCTCTAGCTGAGCTGTGACAGGAGGAAGATCAGGGATCCTGTCTACCTGTCTAAGCTAGATATTTGCTGGTAAAAGCCAAAGGTGGGTAAGTGTGGGGAGTTGATACTTCTCTGACAGCAGTAATCCCTGCCCTCGGAACAGCGGATATTGCTCTAAAAGCGTAATATTGTTGTCAAGTGTAGGATAAAATGTTGAAATATTTCTGCAGTGTTTTTTTGTGGAGGTAATCTGATGTTTATGTGGAGTCAGCATGAGGTGTTTAGAGGCGGATGTTTATTAAATTATAAATGCTAAGTAATACTGAAAAGTTGAAGAGTAAGGTTTCTCGTAGGTTGATTGCTAGCGCTCTCAGCTTACACACTGAGGTCGGTGGCTCGATCCCCGGTACGGGTGGAAACGTTAGGACGTGTTTCCTTAAGACACCCTCTGTCACTGTTAACCCATCAGTAAATTAAGTATCTGGGTGTTAGTAGACAGGTGTAGGTCGCATCCCGGGGACAAAATTGACGTAATTTGCCCGAAATGCTCTGCATAACAAGGTGCTTTCTATATAGTATGACATTGATGTCAGTTATGGTCTGTATACCCTGTACATGTACTTGTAGAAATAAAGATTATTATTATTATTATTATTATTATTATTATTATTAATTATTATTATTATTATTATTATTATTATTATTATTATTATTATTATTGTTATCATTATGAAGACTTGGATATCTTCGCTGCTGAGACATTTCGCCTCCACAAGAGGTTTCCTCTTCTTTTTTGGTCGACTGAAGAAGTATGTTGTGTAGGCGAAAAGTTAAATATTATATATATATACATATATATATATATATATATATATATATATATATATATGTACATGTACATGTACATGTACATGTACATGTACATGTACATGTACATGTACATGTACATGTACATGTACATGTACATGTACATGTATATATATATATATATATATATATATAATATATATATATATATATATATATATATATATATATATATATATATATATATATATATCCCACTCCTTCCCAATCCTCCCCAAAAATAAGAAAGATGCTTCAAGAGGGAGAGGAGAGAGCTGACGTATGAGTGTGAGAAACAGGTCTTACAAGACAATGGAAAAAGCTCAAAGGTGTAACTTTAAAACAAAAAATTGGTGGAGGTGGCAGAAAGGGTTGTCTCAGAAGTGATGGAGGTTGCAGGGAGGGAAGTCTGAAAATTGAAGAAGGTTGCAGAGGATGAAGTCTCAGAAATGATGGAGGTTGCAGAGAGGGAAGTCTGAAAATTGAAAGAGGGTGCAGACGTTGAAGTCTAAAAAGTGATAAAGATTATTGATGTAAAAGCCACAAATTTGGGGAAAGTTGCAGAGGTGGAAGCCTCAAAACTGCAGAGGTTGCAGAAAATTTCAAAATTGGAGGAGGTTGCAGAGGTAATTACAGGAGATTGCAGAGACTGAAGTCAGAGAATGTTGTAATAACAGAAGACATGAGAGTACACGAGAATACATGAGAGTACAAGGGAGTACATGGGAAAGACAGATAGCTGAAGCCTGAGACAATTGAGAAAAGCTATCAGCTTACACCCTAATGAAGAACTATAGGGTGAGCCGAAGATAGTAAAAAAGAATAAGGAGAAAACTGCAGATTTAAAAGTCTGAGAGATCATGTGAAGAAACCTTAAAGAAAACTCATCAGGAGTTAGACTTTAAGTCTTTACCAACAGTCAAGTCTTTCCAACTTAAAATAGACATGTTTTTGTAGCCGTATTTGATCCTGAGGACCAGAGAAATGTCCAAGGTTATTATTATTATTATTATTATTATTATTATTATTATTATTATTATTATTATTATTATTATTATTATTATTATCATTATCATTATTATTATTATTAGCAGTGGCAGAAATAGCCACTCTCTCTCTCTCTCTCTCTTTAAGCACACACACACACACACACACATACACACACACACACACACACACACACACACACACACACACACACACACACACACACACACACACACACACACACACACACACACACACACACACACACACACACACACACACATATATATATATATATATATATATATATATATATGTATATATACCCAATCTTTCACTAACTCTCTTTCTCTCTCTCACTCACGCAGATGATAAAGATGACTCTAACGGTAGTAATGGTGTATTCTCTGTGCTGGCTACCATTCAACATACTCATGGTGAGTACTAGTTCTGTTGTTTCTGTTCCTCCTGTTGTAGTCTTCAACAGAAACCACGTGCCGGGGACCAGAAACATGGAGGGCTGAGATGTTGGAGAGTCTACTGGAAAACTTCACGAGCCAACAAGTTAGGGACACAACCAGAGAGAGAGAGAGAGAGAGAGAGAGAGAGAGAGAGAGAGAGAGGACCTACCATGACTGGACCTCGTATTATCATGGTTTTCTTATAATCTGTTCCTTCTTATAATCTGTTCATGAGATACCATGTTCTCTTACGCTATTATACTTTTAACCGTTATTCTGTTAGACTTTGTTCAGTTATGCTGTTATACACCCAAGTTAATGTTCCGTTATTTTCTTCTGTTGTTCTAGCACGTTTTTGTTCTTGTTATGTTGCCCTGTTGTAAATTTTAAGTTATGTTGTATAGTTAAATGATCTGAAACTATTATTATTATTATTATTATTATTATTATTATTATTATTATTATTATTATTATTATTATTATTATTATTATTATTATTGTATTATTATTATTATTATTATTATTATTATTATTATTATTATTATTATTATTATTATTATTATTATTATCATTATTATTATTATTATTATTATTATTATTATTATTATTAATAGTATTATAATTAACATTTTTATTATTATAATCATTACTATTATTGACATTATTATAATTATTTTCTTTATCATTTATTATTATTATTATTATTATTATTATTATTATTATTATTATTATTATTATATAAGGAAACGCTAAACCCGAATGAATCATACCACGCCTTGAACTCTCATAAAGCTGCTTGTGGATCTTTATCCAGTTTCTTTCTTCCAGTTTTTTCTCTATCCATTCCCACTCATTCCTTCTCTCTCTCTCTCTCTCTCTCTCTCTCTCTCTCTCTCCTTCTCTTCTCTCTCTCTCCTCTCTCTTCTCTCTCTCTCTCTCTCTCTCTGATTTCATGTTTTTCTTTCTTTTTCCCTTTTGCTTTCTTTAAAAAGGTGAATTTATGCTTGTAACTCAGAATTAATGGAATGAAAGCTGTCATTTCTCCCCTTCCTCGGATTAAACCTGATTTTCTCCCACTTTCCTGGAGCTGTATAACTCCTGCGGATTTAGGGTTGCACCTGACTGTAATTATCACCCTCTCTCTCTCTTTTTTTTTTTTTTTTTTTTTTTTTACACAGGGTTCGACAAGGTTAATGATCCCTAGCTTTTTTGACAAGCTATTTACAGGTTAAGGATTCCTAACTTTATTGGCAAGCTAAGAGCTGTTACCTACATCAGCTCATTTGAAAGCATTTTTATTGTTATGAGACATACAAGTAGGGAACAGGATGAAGTTGGAGTCAACTGTGGGCCAGCATTTTCATTTGATCAACTGACGTTATCTCGTTGACATCATTATGCTGTACGAATGTGTTCCATACTCGAGTCATCCTGGGTATATATGATCTCAGATGGAGTGATGTTCTGGAGAAGGGTACAGCCAGAGTGAAGTTGCTGCTTTCTGCCCGTCTTGTGGCATAAAAGCTTGTTTCACGCTGCCCTCGAAGTGGATCCAAGTGTGGTACTTTGACAATATTGGCCTTATACATAACCGTAAGGTCACCCACATGCCTCCTGTGTTGAAGGCTCTGCTGAAATGACAGATCTATCCAGGATGGGTCCTGGCGAGAGATGAGACGTCTTGCTCTGTTCTCTACTCTGTCAAGCAGTCGCAGATGAGAGGGGGGGGGGCAGGCAAACCAAGAAAGTGGAGCATACTCAAGGTGTGAGCGTACTTGTGCCTCGTACAAAATCTTGCAACCCCTACTGTCAAGCAGATGCGAGATACGGCGAAGTGCTGTAAGCTTCCTGGCTGCCTTGTTTGCAAGATTTACAACATGGTTCTTCATGGTTAGTTTGGAGTCAAATTTCACCTCAAGGATATCAACTTCTTCTCCAGGTGCCAACACCCTCCCATTCATCCTTACTACTGAACCAGGATTACCATCATGGTGCCTAGAGACGATCATCATTTGCGTTTTCTCAGGTGCAAATGTTACTTGCCATCTATTTCCCCAACCTGATATAGCTCTCAGCTGGTGATTGATGTAGCTTAGAGCAGCTGGCATTTCTTCTCTTGGATAAGTAAATGTCAGTGTACAGTCGTCTGCATATGCATGTAATTCTGGGATGAGATGAAGAAGGTCATTGAAGTAGACATTCCATAACAATGGTCCCAGCACGCTTCCTTGTGGAACACTTGCCCCAATAGGATGTCTTGTAGATTCCCGTTCCATTGATAACTACACTTCTCTCTCTCTCTCTCTCTCTCTCTCTCTCTCTCTCTCTCTCTCTCCTCTCTCTCTTCTCTCTATCTATCTATCTATCTATCTATCTATCTATCTATCTATCTCTTAGATATGTTGATGTTTTATGCCTAACAATACAGATATAAATAATTTCCTTGTTGAATTAATTAGTCTAGCTCATTCCATAAATTTTACTGCAAAATCTAAACAGAATAACTCATTGCCATTATTAGATGCCTTAATTATTCTCTCTCTCTCTCTCTCTCTCTCTATATATATATATATATATATATATATATATATATATATATATATATATATATATATATATATATATATATATATATATATATAACATATACATATATATATATATATATATATATATATATATATATATATATATATATATATATATATAAATATAATATATATATATATATATATATATATATATATATATCTTTCTCAGGTGGTGCTGGATTTAGTGGAGGAGGTGAGATACTGGCCCCACTTCCACCACCTGTGGTTCGTCTTCCACTGGTTGGCTATGTCTCACGCCTGCTACAACCCTCTCATTCTCTGTTGGATGAACGCCAGGTTTCGAGAGGGATACCTTCACGTTCTCTACAACCTAATGCCGTGCTGCAGGGAACGCCTCTCTCGTTCACTGCTGAAACTCCGTCAGTCTTCAGGTTTACATCGAGCTCACACCTACAGCACGGCCTTCGGCAGTTCTCACAACTCCAGGAACCAGAGGTGGGTGAAGGAGAGGATTCTGTCTCACGAAATCGTAATTACACGATTGTAAACAAAGCGAGGAACGGGTGGAGTTTGAACCCGTTTGAACCCCTTTGAACAAGACTGAAACGTTTTCTAATAAACACGTCCTAGTGTCTGCTCACGTGTCTTTCTAAATCAATTTGTAGGTTTCTATTACCAAGGGCTCGTTCTGGTCTTCCTTTATTTCCGTTGCCCTTGGTAACAAACCTTTCCCCCTCCTTGCATTTTGTTGTTACGTAATCCATCATTTCGTTTACTGACTGTCTTACCAATTCTCTTTCCCAATTAACCTACTGCAGGAAGTTCCTCATGCCTGTGTAGTTCCCCCGTTTGTAGTTTAGCTTTTCCCATCCTACTCCTGTTACTCTCTCCACGTAATCACTAGCTCCAAGGGACCTTTCATATGTGATGTCCTCAGTGTCCGAGCTACTCAGGGTGAACACGAGGTCCAGTCTTCCTGGTTCATCCTCCTCTCTCTCTCTTTCTCTGGTAGTGTTCCTAACATGTTGATGCATGAGGTTTTCCAGTACCACATCCATCATCTTGGCTCTCCGTGTTTCAATCTCCTTGTGATTGAAATCGCCCATAACTAGTAACTTTGCTCTACCCATGTGAGCTCTTCTGGTCACCTCAGCTAGTGTGTCCACCATTGATCTGTTGCTCTCTTCATATTCTTCTCTTGGCCTCCTGCAGTTCTGTGGTGGGTTATACATCACAGCAATGATTACCGTATGTCCCCCAGACTGAATTGTACCTACTATGTAGTACCCTTCACCAATTTCGCCCATTCCTTCTATTTCCTTATTTAGATTTTAATGAGTAGTGCAACTCCTCTTCCTTCTCTGCTCCTTCTATCTTTCCTCAGGATCTGATATTCGGGTAGGAAGATTGCGTCTGTTATCATCCCGGTGAGATTCTGTGTGTGTGTGTGTGTGTGTGTGTGTGTGTGTGTGTGTGTGTGTGTGTGTGTGTGTGTGTGTGTGTGTGTGTGTGTGTGTGTGTGTGAGAGTGTGTGTGTGTGTGTGTGTGTGTTTGTGTGTTTGTGTGTGTGTGTGTGTGTGTGTGTGTCTGTGTGTGTGTGTGTGTGTGTGTGTGTGTGTGTGTGTGTGTGTCTGCGTGTGTGTGTGTCTGCATGTGTGTGTGTGTGTGTGTGTGTGTGTGTGTGTGTGTGTGTGTGTGTGTGTGTGTGTGTGTGTGTCTGCGTGTGTGTGTGTCTGCATGTGTGTGTGTGTGTGGTGTGTGTGTGTGTGTGTGTGTGTGTGTGTGTGTGTGTGTGTGTGTGTATGCGTCTCTGTCTGTGTGTCTGTGTGTCTGTTTATATGTGTGTGTGTGTGTGTGTGCATGAATGATCCAATTTACCCCAGCTTCACCCACATCAAACACCATCTTCTTCCTCTGGCAGGTTCCTTGAGGACTCACGCAAAAGGCGAGATTCCTCCGGCTCCACTAAAGGCTCCATGCAGATGACGAGCACCAAAGACGGATCTTTCAAGCTGCTTGCCAACATTAATCACCAGCCAAGTACTAATGGCTTCAGGCGGAAGGCAGGGGAGAGGGAACACTCGGACACACACATCAGGGAGAATGACACCAGTTTACAGCCTTCCCTCGCCAACACCTGTGTAGGGACAGGTGGACAGTTGCAAGCGTCTGGCTTAGACTTGCCTCATGAGATGATCGATCGATACCTCTTTGTCTCAGGAGAATCTACACTTTGAAACAACACACTTCAGCACTTAACTTCAAGCAGAAAAACAGAATTGACTTAAGTGTAAATGTTAATGTTGTGTTTGTAGCTCTGTTCAATATATATATATATATATATATATATATATATATATATATATATATATATATATATATATATATATATATATATATATATATATATATATATATATATATAATATGTTTCAAATAATTCCCATTGTATTTGTGTAAAAATAAAATTAAAAAAGACAAAAAAAAAGAAAAATCTGTATTTTATTGTCCGTCTAGTTTCAAAAATTTTAATGAAACAGAAAGGCAATAATAACTAGGAAAATATTAAGAAAGGTCAACCACATATGTAATTTACATACAAAAAAAAATAATAAAAGTGAAGATTGTTCACTGATTATTATTATTAGTAGTAGTAGTATTAGTAGTAATAGTATCATTATTAGTAGTAGTATCATTAGTAGTAGTAGTAGTGTCATTAGTAGTAGTAGTATCATTAGTAGTAGTAGTATCATTAGTAGTAGTAGTGTCATTAGTAGTAGTAGTATCATTATTAGTAGTAGTATCATCAGTAGTAGTAGTATCATTAGTAGTAGTAGTGTCATTAGTAGTAGTAGTATCATTATTAGTAGTAGTATCATTAGTAGTAGTAGTAGTGTCATTAGTAGTAGTAGTATCATTAGTAGTAGTAGTATCATTAGTAGTAGT